GGCACAGTGGACTACAACATCACTGGGTGGCTGGAGAAGAACAAGGATCCCCTGAACGAAACGGTGGTGGGGCTGTACCAGAAATCATCCCTGAAGACCCTGGCCTTACTCTTTGCCTCTGTTGGTGGGGCGGAAGCAGGTGATTTCTTTAAAATCAGTTTTCCTATAATGTATAGGGGAAAAAAATTGTGTAATAATATTTTACAATAATACTTACACTTCTAAAATTGAAAACCCAAAACCTCATCTACTTTTTGGAACTCAGTATAATGAAGGATATTACAATTCCCTAGAGACCTGAATAGATCTGTAGGTTTTAAAACCAGACAGTTCTACTACAACATTACCCAGACTAGCTGAGAAACCAGATTTATGCAGTTTGGACCATTCCCAAATACTTCAGGGAATACAATCAAATGTATCAGCATGCTGCTGAATATATGCATACCCTTACCTGTAATGATACATGAATACTGCATTGGGTGTATTCACTAGCTACTAATTAAATTCCTTAAATATCGTTCTATACAAAATGTTACATGTTGTTTCCTGATTGCATTTTCTGAACTTCGGCTTGAAGTCACTGGTTTTCATTCTTCTGCTATCTGAAAAAAATTGTCTCCACTGTATGCATTTGCAAATTTTGATTTATATTATTATTACTTTTATAATAATAATATTTATAATAATATTACTTTTACTAGATTTTTTAAGATGAACATACAAGGTTTTTCAGATTCTTTGTGCTTTTGTTGTTCATTTCTTTCTAAAAAATATATTATTTTTTAGAGAGTGGTGGTGGTGGTGGCGGCAAGAAGGGTGCCAAGAAGAAGGGTTCTTCTTTCCAGACAGTCTCAGCTCTTTTCCGGGTACTGTAGAATAATTATTCTAAATTTACCACATTGTGAAAAAAAATACAGAAAATTTAGTTCAAAAAAGCTTTAGATTGATCTAATATACAAAATCTTTATGTTCAAAGGATAAACACATGTGCTTCTAATAATGGATTCTCACTGAATCCTTAGAAGTATTCTTTCAGAACTGCCTAAAAGCTCTATAAAAACTATGCTTATCATGGTTTTATTGCAGTGTTTTTACTCCATCTAATACTGAGATTGTGTAAGTGACATTTTTAAACCCCTGGCTTTGTTCTTGCTCCAAAGGAAAATTTAAACAAGCTGATGAGCAATTTGCGAAGCACACATCCCCATTTTGTGCGATGCCTTATTCCTAATGAAACAAAAACACCCGGTAAGTTGTTAAAATTCAAAGTTGTGATATATCTGTTCTTCTCTGTGCAGTAAAATTAAATACAAATTCATCCTGTGATTTATTAGGTGCCATGGAACATGAGCTGGTGCTGCACCAGCTGCGCTGTAACGGCGTGTTGGAAGGGATCAGGATTTGCAGGAAAGGATTCCCCAGCAGAATCCTCTATGCTGACTTCAAACAGAGGTCAGGCTAAATATCATCCACCTTCCACCATATCCCCAAATGCTGAGTAATGTGCATTTCCTAATTGTTCTAAGTATTGTGAGGGTTATGGGAGGGGTTCATTATACCTACCTTAAAGTATACAAAAGTTAATTCTCCAAGTTAGTCATCCAGTTTCTTTCTATAGCTAATGAGAAAAGCAGATATTTTCAAAGGACAATTATTTATTCCCGTCCTTTCTTCATATTCTGGTATGAGATAAAGTATTTTTTAACTAACTATCCAGAAATGAAGTTGACTATTTTAGACTTAAGCACCTGGAGAGCAAAGTAAGATGACTTTCAGCCGTCAGCACAGAAATATGAATAAAGACAATACGAGTCATTCTAGACTAACTTTTTGGAAAACTAAATAAAATGAAAGTATCTTGCTTCTTGTTCTATACCAGCTGGAAAATACTCAGATAACATGTGCTGCCACTAGTTAGGATTGAGATTTGCTTCACCTCTCCATGTATTTTGTTCTTGCGCAAAAAGTTCTCATTTAGAGATAAGGCATTAGATAACATGAGAAATATGTCAGCAGTTACCCACAGAAATCATTATCCATTCTGTGTCAAAAAATCTCTGGACTAAGGGAAATGCAGAGTTTTTCCTAAAAACAAATTTAGCCATGAAAGTGTGATTTCTAGAGAATGGAAGTGTTCAGATTTATTCACCTCTCTTCCACTCTTGAACCCTCTTCAGAGAATTTTAACAATGGCATTGGTTGGTACAGGTTTGACTGAGCTTTCAGGAATCTGACCTTCTCCATATTCAATTTCCTGCGATAGGTATAAGGTGCTTAATGCCAGTGCCATCCCAGAGGGACAGTTCATCGACAGCAAGAAGGCTTCCGAGAAGCTCCTTGGCTCAATCGATGTGGACCACACCCAGTACAAATTTGGACACACCAAGGTACAAACCCCCCATTCCCTCACTCACTCTGTGCCTGTGCTTTGCCCCGCCTGACAGTGATGGGCTGCAACATTCCCTCTCTAAGGTGTTCTTCAAAGCTGGGCTGCTGGGGCTCCTGGAGGAGATGAGGGATGAGAAGCTGGCACAGCTCATCACCCGCACACAGGCCGTGTGCAGGGGTTACCTGATGAGGGTGGAGTTCAAGAAAATGATGGAGAGGAGGTAGATACTTAGCCTTCTGGGACAATTCTTATCAGATACTAATGGCATGTACAAAATTGAAAATAAGTTTCTTCACAACAAATCTCATTTATTTCCCTTTAATTCAGTTTACCAATACAGATGTATATCCTGAAAATAGATGAAACAGTGTAAAATCCCAATTTAGGGAAATAAATATTTTTTTAACACTTTGTACTAATTTTTGATGAATTCGGTAAGTGGTTACACTGTATGTATGTCCAGAAACTCAATATCTAGTGTAAGCTAACTATTTTAGGTCAGTGCTTTAATCAAAGGAGAGAAACATATATTTCTATCACAAGAAAAGTATTCTCTTCCCTTTGATAACTTCCATGGAAGGGCTTGAGTAAAATTCTGGAGGTGTTCCTTTTCATTGGCCATGAAAGTGAAGCAAACACCTGGACTCCAAAACTGTCCATATAGGTTGATACTCTACATAACACTAGAAAGTTTTCTGTGGAAATATATATTATATATAAAATGTGCACTAAATATTATTAAGAAATATATATTTAATAATACATGATAAATATTTTATGCATAGATATATACAGGGCCATAACTATAAAGTATTATATGTAGAACTTCGCATTATCCATATTAATATATACAATTAAATATGTTTTATAGATTTTAAAATATGTACCATAATATATTTTGTTATTGCCTTTCAGAGAGTCCATCTTCTGCATCCAGTACAATGTTCGTTCCTTCATGAATGTCAAACACTGGCCCTGGATGAAGCTGTTCTTCAAGATCAAGCCCTTGCTGAAGAGTGCAGAGTCTGAGAAGGAGATGGCCAACATGAAGGAGGAGTTTGAGAAAACCAAAGAAGAGCTTGCAAAGTCTGAGGCAAAGAGGAAGGAGTTGGAGGAGAAAATGGCTTCTCTAATGCAGGAGAAAAACGATCTGCAGCTCCAAGTGCAGGCTGTGAGCATTGCTCATGTTTTTGTCTTGGAGCAACCTATGCAAAATCATCCCAAATGTCTCAGTAACAGACACATTATCCAAAACCAGTATTTATTGTAGAAACATACATGTATTTTATAAAATAGGAAGGAAAACCACATAGAAAATCTGCAGAATAATAATAAATTTACAACTAACTCTTGCAGCTGCTTCCTTACACTTTTAAATTAAGAGAGAAATAATCAATTTCCAATGAGCAAATAGCACAGTTTACAGGATGTCATTTTAAATGGTACTTGGTGACTTACAGAAGCAATTATCACATCTTTATAGAACTTTATATATTACTCAATTTTGATATGTTATCACCTACCAATAAAGGTAGTCTGGAGGTCCTGTTAACACCTTTTATTTGGAGAATCACAAGTGGATTCAGGTGGAGTAGGAGGGGCTGAAAATGTCAGGAATTTCTCTGGCATTTATGGTCCTTGCCTCCTCAGGAAAGTGATGAAAGTGGACTTTTTCCTTTTTTCTCTGGAAATAAAAAGGTAGCAACAATAATGTCCTTAAAACTGTATTTACAAGCTTGGATTTGGATTCATCTGATGACATTTTGATGTCTACAGCCTAAAAGAACATCTTCACCAGTACCTTCAGGTGCTCTTCATCTTCAGCACCAAGAAACTCATTCTTTTAGAGTATGGTACAATTAATCCAAAAATTAAAAATTTTTGCTTAAATGGACTGCAACTAGATATCATGGCAAATACCTAAATCTACAGGAGACAAACTCCAACCTAGCTATTTTGCTGAGCTTTAGAAGTTCTTCTGCTTGGGTGGCATCACTGCTCTTTACCAGAGAAAAGACAAAAAGAATAGGTGGTATGTAGAAAACAAAGATTGCTTCTAAGTAACTTACATCTTAGAATGCCTCTAAATGCAGGTGATTGTAACTGCCCTAGTAAATATCTTTTGCCCTTCCAAACTTTTCTTCTTGACCACAAGTGCTAGAAACATGCCTGTGAAACAGTGATCTTACCACAAAATTTTGCCAAAACCAAAAATTTAATTCATGCTCATAAAATCTTTTGGGAAGAGTTCAATAAGATTTTCTCAGACAATGTTTGAGGGTTTAACATTCAGGTTTTTTACACCATAACCTAAAAAGTGTGCCTACATGGCTCTCTTCAGTGGAGCTCTTTGCCAGTTTCCAGTCCACTAAAACACAACAGAAGTGTAATGATGCAAGGATACAATGGACACACTGTCAGACCTGACAAGTCTTCAAATGAATGTTGGCATTGAATGAGCAGTTAAAGACTTTTAATGTTTGATAATATATTCCTTCATTTTAGGGGATGGAGGCAGTCTAAAACAAATAGATACTCTCAGAGTTTTGAGTTTTACCTACAAAGTAGATTGTAAAGCTGCTTTGAGAATATCATGTCACTGTTTGAAAATAAGTAAAAAAAAAAATTATTTGAAAACTGTTCCATTTAAATGAATCATGTAGGAAGCTGATGGTTTGGCTGATGCTGAGGAAAGGTGTGACCAGCTCATCAAAACCAAAATCCAGCTGGAAGCCAAAATTAAAGAGCTGACTGAAAGAGCTGAGGATGAGGAGGAAATCAATGCTGAGCTGACAGCCAAGAAAAGAAAACTGGAGGATGAATGTTCAGAGCTGAAGAAAGATATTGATGACCTTGAGCTAACACTGGCCAAGGTGGAGAAGGAAAAACACGCCACTGAAAACAAGGTATGAGGCAGAAAATCTCACCCACACTCCAGAAAAGAGCCCCGTGCTCTTCCAGGACTTCTGGATCTACTTCCTTGATTTACACTTGCTCCCTTCTTCCTAAAGGTGAAAAACCTCACAGAGGAGATGGCAGCCCTGGACGAGACCATTGCCAAGCTGACAAAAGAGAAGAAAGCCCTCCAAGAGGCCCATCAGCAGACCCTGGATGACCTGCAGGCAGAGGAGGACAAAGTCAATACACTGACCAAAGCCAAGACCAAGCTGGAGCAGCAAGTGGACGATGTAAGCACACGGACACAGAGCAGGAACAGACAGGTATGGAGTTTGAGCTGGCTGGTGGAGCACTGATGGCCTTGTTCTGTGTAGCTGGAAGGGTCCCTGGAGCAAGAGAAGAAACTGCGCATGGACCTGGAGAGAGCCAAGAGGAAACTGGAAGGAGACCTGAAGCTGGCCCAGGACAGCATCATGGATCTGGAGAATGATAAGCAGCAGCTGGATGAGAAACTGAAGAAGTAAGTGTGGCCCTGGGGCACCTCCGTGCTGGGCTGCAGCTCTTGTCTTTTTCCTTTGAGCTGTAACCCACTTTGCTTTGCCCAAAGGAAAGACTTTGAAATCAGCCAGATCCAGAGCAAAATCGAGGATGAACAAGCCCTGGGCATGCAACTACAGAAGAAGATCAAGGAGCTGCAGGCAAGTATCTGCTCCTTCGCCTGCCTGCCCCAGGCTCGGCTCAGGGAGGAGGAGGGCACGGGTGTGAAGGGTCCCTCGTGTTCTCCAGGCCCGTATTGAGGAACTGGAGGAGGAAATCGAGGCCGAGCGAACCTCTCGCGCTAAAGCAGAGAAGCATCGGGCTGACCTGTCCAGGGAGCTGGAGGAGATCAGCGAGCGCCTGGAAGAAGCAGGAGGGGCGACGGCAGCTCAGGTGGAGATGAACAAGAAGCGGGAGGCAGAATTCCAGAAGATGCGCCGGGACCTCGAAGAGGCCACGCTGCAGCACGAAGCCACGGCTGCCGCCCTGCGCAAGAAGCACGCGGACAGCACAGCTGAGCTGGGGGAGCAGATCGACAACCTGCAGCGCGTCAAGCAGAAGCTGGAGAAGGAGAAGAGTGAGCTCAAGATGGAGATTGATGACTTGGCCAGTAACATGGAGTCTGTCTCCAAAGCCAAGGTACACAAATACTTCTTCTCATTAATTCAAACTTAATCAAGTACTTATATTTTAACATAGAAATTGAAATCATACTTTATAATAAATAATTGCACTTTGCAGCTTGACTTTGTGTTTATACTTTTCTGTATTTTTATAATAATTTTTTAATCCTTTGAGTGAGATCTAAAAAACTGTAACACCTAACCTAAGGATCTGTGGGGTCTCATTTCTTGGTTCAGAATATTATGACAGAAATGAAAGACACTGACCTTATTGCTTTTTAATTTCTCCTAAAACAGAAATTGCTCCTAGAGTGGAAATTATCCTCTCCTTTTTATTCCTATGTTTCTTTTCCTCCCTTAAATACTTCAGTGACATAATTTTTAAACAGCATATAGAATTTTAAATTTCTTCCTCATTTTACAGTTTCCCATTATCCTTTTTATCTGATGAAAATAGATTATTGTATAATACTAGTACAGTAATAATTATTAATAAAAATTTGTGTATGTATTAAATATAGAATCATAGAATCACAGAACGGTTTGGGTTGGAAAGGACCTTAGTGATCATCTTATTTCATCCCCCCTGCAATGGGCAGGGCATACACAAATGTTGGAATCAGGGACACAAATTTCATAGAAATGTCTGTCATTTAACTGAGATATTTTGACTTCTAAATCATTGATTTCTTTTTTCATTTGTAAGATTTGAGATTCTGACTAACTTGAGTTGAATCATCTTTCTTTCTGTTCTTCATGCAAATAGGCAAACCTGGAGAAGATGTGTCGCTCCCTAGAAGATCAACTCAGTGAGATTAAGACAAAGGAGGAGGAACAGCAGCGCACAATTAATGACATTAGTGCTCAGAGAGCTCGGTTACAAACTGAATCTGGTAATATATTTGTGTTTTTAAGAGAATATTTGTGTTATATGACCTGGTTCCTTTAAAAAAAGAGTCCAAATCACCTGGGCTCTTGAAAGATACTAAGTTGGATATGAGCCAGAAAAGCATTCTTGTGATGCAGACAGCCAACAGAACCCTGAGAGAATCCTGAGCTGCATTAGGAGAAGTATTGCCAGCAGATTAACAGAGGGTGATCCTTCCCTCTACTCAGCATGGGTGAGGCCATGCCTGGATTGCTGTGCTGAATATTAGGCTCCCCAGAACCAGAGAGATACAGTCATCCTGGAGCAGGAGCAATAATATGTTTAAGGTACTGGAACAACTAGTTCCTGGAATAACTCCCCAGGGGCTGGTAGAGTGATCACTAGGGGGTTTCAAGACATGACCAGACAGGATGCTAGATAATCTCACCTAGACTCCCTTTCCCGTCAAAGGTTGCACCAGATGACCTTTCAGGGTCCCTTTCAACCTGGACTGTTTTATGATTATATGACTGGTGTTTCAAAGAATTCATCTATCTCATAACCTAGATGTCATCCTTCTGCTTCCCAGGAGACATTCAGAAGAGAATAATGATATACCTGAGCATGTACACCACATTGTAGAATCATCAAATAGTTTAGGTAGAAAGGTCATCTAATCCAACCTCCTTGCAGTGAGCAGGGACAACTTCAACTGTATCAGGTTGCTCAGTGCCCCATCTAACCTGACCTTGAATGTTTCAATGATGGGGCATCCACCACATCCCTAAGCAACCTGTGCCACTCCTCTCATTTGAAAAATCTTATTTCTTGTATCTAATCTAAATTGAACCTCCTTCAGCTTGTCTTACCGCAACAGGCCTTATAAAAAGTTTGTCCCCATCTTTCTTATAGGCCCTCTCAAGTATTGAACAGTTGCAATAAGGCCTCCTCAGAGCCTTCTTTTCTCCAGGCTGAACAATCCTAATTTTCTCAGCCTCTCCTCATAGCAGAGGTGCTCCATCTCACTAAAAAGCTTCATGGCCTCATCTGGACTCACTCCAAGAGGTCAATGTCCTTCCTGTGTTGGATACTCCAGAGATGGATGCAGTAGTCCTGGTGGGGTTTCAAAGAGCGGAGTAGAGGGGTAGAATCACCCCTCTCCCCTGCATGCCCTGTGGGATGAGGCCAGGACACGTTTGGTTTCTGAGCTCCCAGCGCACACGGCCAAGACAGGACTGCTCTCGATCTATTCATCCCCCAGCCTGAATTGATACCAGGGGTTATCACAATCCAGGTGCAGCACCTTGCACTTGGCCTCATGAGACTACAATGGGCCATAAGCCCTCTGGATGGCACTGTAGTACTCAATCTGTAAACTCAACACTTTAACACGGGGCTTAGAGCAAACAAAGAATAAGACTAGCCGGATTTTACACACAGGGTCATTTCTTGCCTTTAAGTAAATACTATGGCATAGTTAGAGATGTGGGTAGGTATCAGTGATTAGGAATACATGAAAGAAATAAAAATTTGTTTTACTCAAAATATTTTATATGTGCATTTAATTATCAAGGTTAACACTTCTACATAAGTCATAACAAGGTTGTTTTACTCATCTGAACTCAGGTGAATATTCACGCCAGGTGGAGGAGAAAGATGCTCTGATTTCTCAGCTGTCAAGAGGCAAACAGGCTTTCACCCAACAGATTGAGGAACTCAAAAGGCATCTAGAGGAAGAGATAAAGGTGAGAAGACTTTACAAATTCTCAGTTATCCATTGGACTCCTTCTGTCTAGGAAGAACTTCAGATACATATAAAATTGTAAAATTGACAAGATGAGAGGAAGGAAATAAACACTTGTCTAATTCAGTCCAAGTCCTCCCAGAGTAGTTTTGCTCCCCTTCCCTGTAGTCTATCCATAAATTCTTTTACAGAATCCCAGATTTTCCATTTTCAGTCAGTAGTTCATCATCACTCACAACAGAATCAATGTTCATCAACATTTCAGTGAGGAAATTTTGCAGGATATTTCCATTCACTGTCACACTGCTATCTTTCCCCGCAGGCCAAGAACGCCCTGGCCCACGCCCTGCAGTCCGCTCGCCA